AAGGTACTACTTAAAAGGGATGGGACATGTTTAAAATACAGAGAAGGCAAGCCATGTGCCTGGTGGTTGAGAGCCCCGGCCATTGGCTAAGCAAACCTGGCCCTACCACTTTTCTGCAGCATGCCTTCGAGCCTCAGTGTCTTCATCTGTAAATGAGTTAGTTAATAGTAGTAAAGCCCACCTCTTAGGATGCCTTCATCGGTCCCTGCATGATGCAAACAGTTCAGCATTCTATTACTAGCTGAAAGATTGGCAGTTGGAATTCACTGAGAGGCACCTTGGAAGAAAGACCTGGTGATGTGCTTCTGAAAGGGCACAGCTGAGTTCTGCTCTGAAACACATGGGATTGCCATGAGTTGGAATCAAGTCAAGGACATGCTTAGGGCATTCCATTAGGGCCCAGTGCTTAGAAAAATCATAGTAGTCATTAGATATTTGGTACATTTTTTTAAATTGGAAATGAAATACATGTTCATTGTAGAGAAAACTCAGAAAACAGCCAGCAACAAGAAGTACAGAAGAAAGTATAAGGGGCTTTCAGTCTTTTTACTTCGTTAGGGACTAGCTGTCATCTTAGGGAGCTCTGGTGGTATAGGGGTTAAAGCATTTGGCTGCTAACTAAAAGGTCATCGGTTTGAACCCACCACCTCCTCCATGGGAGAAAGACGAGGCAGTCTGTTTCTGTAAAGATTTTTAGTCTTGTAAAGCCTGTGAGGCAAGTTTGTTGTTGCTGTTGTTGTTAGGTGCCATCAAGTTGTTTCTGACTCATAGCGACCCTATGCACAGCAGAATGAAACACTCCCCAGTCCTGACCCAGCTCCATGATTCTTGCTACACTTGAGCTCATCACCGCTGCCACCATGTCAATACACCTCATTGAGGGCCTTCCCCTCTTTCGTCGACCCTCCACCTTAACAAGCAAGACATCCTTCTCCAGGGGATGGTCCCTTCTGACAGCATGACCAAAGTATGGGAAACGAAGGCTGGCCATTCTCGCCTCCAAGGAGCATTTCGGCTGCACTTCCTCTAGGACAGTCCTGTTAGTTCTTTTAGCAGTCCACAGTATTTTCAGCATTCTTCTTCACCAACACCACAGCTCAAAAGCATCAACTCTTCTTCTGTCCTCCTTACTCATTGTCCAGCTCTCACATGCATATGAGGCAATTGAAAATACCATGGCTTGTGTCAGGTGCACCTTAGTCCTCGAGGAGACATCTTTGCTCTTCAGCACTTTGCACTGCAAAGAGGTCCTTTGCAGCTGATTTGCCCAGTGCTATACGTCGTCTGATGTCCTGGCTGCTGCTTCCATTGGTGTCAATTGTAGAACCAAGAAATGTGAAGTCCTTGATGATTTCAATCTTTTCTCCATCTATTGTAATGCTGCTTATAGGTCCAGTTGTGAGGATTTTTGTTTTCTTTATATTGAGACGTAATCCATACTGCACACTGTATTCTTCAGTCTTCATCAGTAAGTACTTCAAGTCATCCTCACTTTCAGCAAGCAAAGTTGTGTCATCAGCGTATCACAGGTTGTCAATGATCCTTCCTCTAATCCTCATGCCATGTTTTTCTTCATATAGTCCAGCTTTTCAGATTATTTGCTCAGCATACAGATTGAATAAGTATGGTGAAAGGATACAA